AATCTGGCAGGAATTGTCGAACACCTCACCCTATGACAAACTGGCATTATGGTTTGGAGCACAACTGCATACTATTCCAGGTCACTTCTAGTTCATATTCAAAGAACTATGACAGCCTAACGATACGTGGATGATGTGTTGCGGCTGGTGACACTCCCCTACTTGCAAGGAGTGCCTAGCACCCTTTATCAACAGTATAACGCCCGACCACACACTACTTGCATCAGCAAGGTGTACAGATGCTTACCTGGCCACTGTTCTCTCCTGATCTCTCACCAATCAAACACATTTGGGATGTGATTGGACTCCACTTCTGCAAACCTTGCCATTGCCGTGTTCAGAAGATGAAACGTGGCAAATGGTTGACAGGGCATGGAGAGGCATTCCTCAGGACACCATCCATAGTCTCAGTGACTCTGTATCTGGATGTGCTGCTTCGCATATTGCCATTTAAGGTTGTAGAGTCATTAGGATTTTTTTGGAGGCCGGAGAAATGAAAAATTAACAGCGCCTTCACTGGGAATCGAACCACAGACCTCTGGAATACCGACCCAGCGTGCTACTGTTACACCATGAAGGACGCTAGGGAAGTGGGAGAAATACCTTATATACTCCCCTTTTTAAAGGGCGACTAGGGTTTTAAAGGACCTAGTCGCCAAATCCTGGGTGCGGAGAATCATCATCTACAACCCTTTTAGTTTGGGCACCACTTGTAGAGTCATTAGGAATTTTTGGGAGGCTGGAGAGATGAAAAATTAACAACGCCTTCACCGGGAATCGAACCACGGACCTCTGGAATACTGGCCCAGCGTGCTACCGTTACACCATGAAGGACACTAGGGAAGTGGGAGAAATACCTTATAAGGTGGTCCTATAACCTACTTAGCCGACGCTGTTCTCACTCTGTATTATGCATATCATTTTGAAATAAAGATCACTTATTGTCTCTCTCTGTTTGCCGAGTTTCATTGCTTTCTGGCCACTCGTCCTTGGTGTTCCATTTCCAATGTTGAGTATTGTATTTGGAGTGTACCTTTAACACAGACACTATATGCTTTCAAACATACATAACCTTTTCTGGGATTTGAAGCTGGACACTCCAATATAGCAGTTGGCATCCCTAACCACTATTATGTCTGTATGGAAGGCTCAATTGACAGCTGAATAAAATACACATCTAAGTATGACAGTATCTAATCATACAGTTCACTGGACTCTGTCAGATAGAGATATAGGTAGATAGATGCTTCTTTCATATGGTTCTGGTAATCCATCATCATCAACTTTACAACTTTAACAACATTGGACTTATAAGCACTGAGAAATGGACTATGCCACAATGAAAAAAAAGTCATCTGGTCAGACAAATAACTATTTCTTTTACATCACATTGATGGTTATAACCAGGTACACCATCTTCCAAGTGAGCAAGTGAAGGACACATGTACCATAGGGGATCTGTAGTTGTTGAACATACTGTAATAGCTGTGAACTATGGAAACATCATTGGTGAACAGTTACATCTTTTTGTGATTTCTGTCTTCCCTGCTAGAAACAGACACTTCCAGCAGGATAATGCTGCTTAACTTGAGATCAGAATTATGCTACAGTGGTTTGAAGAGCATGATAAAGAATTATAGATATCCTGGCCTCTTAAAATACCAGAGTTAATCCTACTGGGCATTCCTGGAATATCACAAAAAACAAACTCAAGACTCACCAAACATTTCATTACGATCTATAGGAATTACATAACTTCAGCTAATATATCTGGTACAAACTTCCTCCAGATACTTACCCAAAACTTGTACAATCCATAGCATGATGGGCTACAACTTTTTGGATGCCAAAAAAGAAGCAATGCGGTATTAGGAAAACAGTCATAATATTGTGGCTTATTAATGTATTTTATGCACTTTATGCATTATTTTCTGTATTCTTACAATAAAATAAGATACAGAAAAGAAAATGCAATAAATAAAATCATGAAAAAGCCATAATATGTTTAAAACTTTGCATTCAGAAGTTTTGTCTACTGTTTGCAAGATGAATTGACAATCCTTCAATACCCGCATCAGTGCTATCTTATAGATATAAAACACTGCATTAGTTATTAAATGCATTACTAACACTATGCTATAAAAATGAAAAAATTTTCTAAGAGACTGCTTGCATTTTAGGGAAATATATGATACATTAGCATTAGCATTTAAAAAAAAATTAGCATTAGCACATAAAAATTTTGTAGACAATTTCGTTTTTTACTGTACATAGAGAACGATAAATAGAACTGCATAGATTCACATGATGACATAATGGAGAAGAATTTAATGGATGTAGTGTAAATTCCAATGCTTAATTTTATTTCTTGATAGTTATTTTTTAGGACACATGTTCTTTTCCATACCATCGTTATGTGTGTGATATGCACCTCACAATTTTATGCAGCTTACATCTCTTTAGACAGTGATGATTAACAGCACAGGTAAGAGATGCATGTTCACAAGCAGCAACAGAAGTAGGAAAAAAGGAATGCACATCAGCAAATTGCTAGATATTTAGTAAAATATTTCTTTAATCTGATTAGTTGAGAGATTACTGCACTGCAACAGGTTTACATAAGCAAACACGAAACACATTCATTTTGAAAGACACAGTCCAGTAAATTTACTATAAACAATATTATAAACAGTTTCTACTTTTAGAACAGAAAGGGGAGAGAGCTAAATTAAAATGGGGAACAAAAATGACCACTGTCAAATTAAAGCTAATAGTTTCCTTTTATATTTTACATTTGATCATGGCACCATAGGTAAAACATAAAATTAAAAGAAAACTACTTGCTGCGATGCAGAAAGCTCTCAACTTATCAAATTAAAGAAATATTTTGGTACATACCTAGCGCTTTGCTGATGCTTGCTAGTTGTAAATGTACATCGCTTCCCTCTGTGCTGTTTATCACCACTATCTAAAGAAATGTAAACTGTATAAAACTGTGGGGCACATATACCACTTACAATCATAATGTGTAATGGGAAAGACTAGGTGTCCTAAAAGTTAGCTATCAAGAAATAATATTTTGTATTGAAATTTATGGTTGCATTTTTCTTCAAGTGCCATCCATTTATCCACACAGTAACGAATTTCAAAGTTACTATAAAGCAGTAGAAACATCGCTAATTCACTGCAGCTTTTCCAAATTATCGCATTACAAAAGTATTTTCACATCTTTTTATTAATGTAATATTTCTAGATAATTTAATTCTGGAAGTTTTCTAAAACATTTCAAACCCATAAAAAAGGTCCAACATACTTATTTAAAAATACCTTGTAAATATAAACCAGCAAAGTTCAAAAATATATTGTTAAAATGATTCGCTGTAAATTTTTGAAAAGCCAAAAACTTTTTAGGAAAATAAAACAATATAGAAAAATTCAGTAAATAAATAATCATAACTCAAACTGTTTGTTTATTGTTGCTTGTAATAATAATCAGAAATTTTCATGCTAAAAAGGCTAGCACATGAGCCTTTAGCAATATTAAAAATTTGCTTGTTACAGGCTGATTTCTAATTTTTGCAACTAAGCATGGTGGCTGCTTTAACAAGGTACTGAATTTTTTTAAAATCAAAACAGGCACAAAAATAACTTTACATGCACTAGCTTTCTAAATATCTGTGCCTAGGCTTGTTAAAAAAAAAAGCATTTTTGAAAGTTTCAATAGTTACAGTAAAATCAATGCTTTTAATGCTTACAGGGACTAGACAATAATACGGAAACATCAGGGTTAAAAGAATGCATAAAATGACAAATATTTTCTATTTACAAATATGTATCAGTGGTTCTCAACCAGTTTTGCCCCATGAACCCCTTTTATCACTGCTAAAAGATCATTCAACCTACTCGATCCCTTGCAAAACATGAAATATGCATTTACTTGCATTTAGATTAGTTTTTAATGTGTTTTATAAATTAAACTATAAAACGTACAGAAAATGTTAATAAATACCAAAACTTGAATAAAAATACTTTATTATATTCATAAACTATCATTAAATGATTAACAGTTAAATAAAAAACTAACAGCATTCCTTCTCGAAACTATTCAATTCTCCCTCTGGTTGAGATCCTGATAAAGATAGTGCAATTATTATATGCAATTATTTCAATTTTTTGTGTTGTACGAAATTTGTCAAGTTAACAGGAAGCCACAATTGCTTTTTAAACTTCCTTCTGTGTGCTTATAATTGAATAAAGCCAAGTTTGCAGAGTTTTAAAGAGAGTAAACTACTGAAGCCTGTGTGTCTGGTATTTCTGTCATCAAAGTAGCCAATTAATCTGATGAATCACAAGGTACTATGTCTAAGGTTATGATATCATAGAGTGCTTCTGGAAAAAGTTTCTTATTACCTTCTAAGTTCATGTTGTTTCAAAGAACTTTACAAGCATTATTTTAAGTGACCCAATCCACCCTACTGCAAATGCTGTTTCCTTCAGGAGATGTCATTTATCAAGATGACAAGGACCCAGTTCTTACAGTTCATATGATTTCCAATTGTGATATTCTGAGCATGCTATTGAGATTTCCCATCTTCTTTCTCAATCATCAAAACCTAATATTAAAGAAAGTCTCAAGACAATTTTGGAGGAAAATAATTCCCATGCAGTATCCACCTCTAAAACCTTTACAAGAAGTTAAGCAAGTTTTGCAGAAAGAATTGTATAATATATTACCTAGCATTCAAGACTTATATTTGTTTATTCTGAAGAGAATTCAGTCAGTTTTTAAATGTAAAAGACAAGGAATTTTTTCTTTTACCACTGTTTCCATATTTTTGCCTAGCTTCAATATTTGTTAAATTTATAATTTATTATTGCAAAGTTTGTAGTTTTATCTCATACCTTCAGAAAACTGATGCAACTGGTGGGTACATATTTGATTATTTCATTATAGCTATTACAAGTTCTTATACAATTATTTAAAAAATAAAATACCATACTGTTTCAAATCTAATGCCATAATTGATTTCAGCTGACACAGATTTGCGATCTTTCTGAGGTTGAACAGTTCTATCGTCCTTTCCTCTGCAACGACTAAACAGTGACTGCCCAGTTTTTGGTCCAAATTCCTGTTGTAATTTTGACAAAGACCATTTCTGTAAGTCATCACAAGTTTTAACACCCAGATGTTCTAATTTCATAGAAGTAGAATAACCAACACCTATTAAAGATAACAAAATAATATTTTTTTTAAAAATAATATGATTACATAATATTTAGAAACCACCTAATAAACATCACAGCCTTGTAAATAACATGTTTACTTATGCAGACAATCCTAAGATAAGTTAAAATAAAGCAATAAATTACCTGGTAAATCTTGAACTTTTTGTTTTTTCATAAATTCTTCTATTTCCTCATTGCATACATAATGCTGACCATTAGGTTTTGCATATTTGTTAGCTAGACGTGCAATTAACATATTACTGCCTGGAAGAAACACAGAAATTTTCATCAGTAACAAAAATGGAAATTCCTCTCTTAACTGCTATATAGATTGGTTCTTATATAGTGATGGGCAAATTCGGTACATTCTTGTACCCGGTACGAGAGTAACGGGTACAGACAAGTACCCGGTACAAAATACCTCTTACTCAAGTAACCGTTACTTTGAAAAGTACCGAAAACTGATTTCAAGTACCGAGTACCCAAGTAACGATTTGGAGTACCGAAGCAACGAAATATCGGAGTAACGGTTGGCTGTACCATAGTACCCTAGTAACGGTTTGCTGTACTGGAGTACCCTATTTGTACCAATAGTAATTTGGAGTACCAAAGTACCTAGTAACGATTTGGAGTACCGAAGTGCCCTAGTAACGATTTGGAGTACCCTAGTAACGATTTGGAGTACTGAAATAACGATTTTGCGCACTGAAGGAACTCTGCCACGTCACCACGTGTTTGATTTTATCTGTACGGAGTAAGATTTTGAATATCAGAAAACATATCAACTACGGAAGTGTCTGAGGAGCAGACTATTCATGGACAAGAGGAGCGCATATCACCATTTCACAAATACAACCAGATACTACTGTCCTCGTACCAAAACCGAAGTGAGCTGAACCCTCATCGATCCTCCAGTAACGAATACCGAAATACTGAGAAGAGATGCATATTTTCATTACAAAGTAACGAATACCGAAAAGCACCCGTTTCGGTACAGAAGTAATGAATACCGAAAAGTATCCATTTCGGTACAGAAGTAACGAATACCGAAAAGTGCCCGTTTTGGTACAGAAGTAACGAATACCGAAAAGTACCCATTTTGGTACAGAAGTAACGAATACCGAAAAGTACAAATTTAGGTACTGAAGTAATGGGTACTTGTATATACCGATTTTCAGTACCCGTTACAACTAAGTACTCATTACAAAATACCCGGTTCGGTAGTACCGACTCATCACTATTCTTATAGTACTGGAAGTAGATTAAAGTATATTGAGTGTATGTGAGTAAGACAAGGAATCTTTTGTTTTGATAAACAATATAAAATACTGCCTATATTACGAGAAGTTATAAATCACAAAATGCCTATTTTATCATTAAGAAGCCACAATACAAAATTAACAATTAACAGACATAATAATTATACACACATACAAAAAAAAAAAAAAAAAAAAAAGCCAAACGTGGTGATAAAACTTGTCAATTTACAGTGAAATGATACTAAATTTGGTGGCCTTTTTAAATGTTTCACATTTTCAAAAATTGATTCTATAGGGAAGAGGAACAGAAGTAGGGAATTTCTAAATCCTCCCTCTTATTATAACAAATATAATTCTAAGCTTGTCCTTCCCTGTACTTCAAATAAAGAAACATGATCCACAGAAAATTTATGTCACAATTTATAAATTTCTTCTTCAGCGAAAGAGACTGCAGCTTTAATGTGTGATTTTAGTGCTAATTTTGTTGCACAAAGCTGACTTAATTTAGTATGCATTTTAAAATGATTATGCCAGAAATCAGAAACATTCCTTCCACATGCTCTGGTCATACAGTAGTCACATATATCAATTCACAGCAATAGCACAACTAATTTTTCAATACTGTGCCAAAATGTTTTTACAGTGACACCTAAACTAAAAATGAGAATTGTCCTAATAGAAACTGCCTCTTGGGACAGTCATCCGTCAGGTGGAATGAATGTAAAGATCAAGCTATGTGCTCTTGATACAGCGTCAGCATCAATATTCTATAATGACACTCAATTTGATTACCAGCAAAGGGTTACAGCCGAAAACATCGCAGCAAAAACATCGCGGAGAAAACAACGCAAGGCGAAAACGTCGTGCTACAAAACATCGCAAAGAGAAAACATCGCTGTTCTAAAACATCGTGATACAAAACATCGTCGTTGAAAATAAAGCGGTTTAAAAACTTCGCAGTTTAAAAACATCATCGTCGAAAATATCGCGGTAAAAAATAAAGTATCTACAAATCATCGCATGACGATAACATCGTAGACATGCTTTTTTTTTTCAGGCTTTAATAACTGTAAATGGATATTCCCACAATGATTTGTGAGCGCAAGTTGGAAAAAAAAGGATAACTTTTTTTTCTTCATATTTTTATTAAGTAATAAATTTTTGCTGAGAAAATAAGAAGGAGATTTAAGCATAGAAAATTAATGCAACTTATAGTACTTTATAGAATTTTAAACCGACATAGTTAACTAACAAAGGCCATTAATAAATCATATTTTATAAAGTTTTTACTGGTAATTTTTCACGAAAAGTACAATCTATGAGTTGCATTTAATTTTCTATGCTTAAGTTTCCTTCTTACTTTTTCAGAAAAAATTTATTAGTTAATAAAAAAAATGTGAAAGTAAAAATTATCCTTCTTTACATATTGCGCTCACAAATCATAATGGGAATATCCATTTACAATTATTAAAACCTGAAAAAAAGCATGTCTGCGATGTTATTGTCATGCGATGATTTGTAGATACTTTATTTTTTACCACGATATTTTCGACGATGATTTTTTAAACTGCTTTATTTTCGACTTCAATGTTTTGTACCACGATGTTTTAGAACTGCGATGTTTTCTTTTTGCGATGTTTTCTCCCACGATGTTTTGTAGCACGACGTTTTCTCCGCAACGTTTTCGTCCGCGATGTTATCGGCGGACACCCCAGCAAAGAGAGTGTGATTTTTTTTTAATTCTTCAGGCAAAAATTTGAAAGCTTCTATAATTTATTCTTAATATATACTATATGTTATGGAACAGAAATACAAAATATCTTTGATTTTTATGAAAGATTTTATAATGGTAACTAAGAAATGCTGAATTAACATTCTGCATCGAAAGTATTGATTAATGCTTCAGAAGTTTAATAAAAATAAAGTTTTCTCATCACTGGACTATACAATTATTAATTATGGATATCAAACATGAAGTCTATAAAATATAAGACAGTTATTACGTATATAATACAGAACAAGATTATGACAATGACACTCACTTTTAATACTTCCATTCAATCTATACATTCCCTGAATTATTATTATTATGGTTCTAATATGCATTTTAAATATTTTCGTACAATTCATAAATTTTGTTTCCTTAGATAATAAAATTTATATTAATATATCTATCAGTACATAAAAATACACAAAGGAAGAAAATCTTGAAAAGGAAATGTAAAAACTCTGATAACTTACTGAAATAATTCTCAAAAAATAATTTTGGGATAGATTTATTATTTTCCTTTTTAATTAAATTTTCCAGTTCATTTTTTTTTAAATCCAGTGATAAGAATTGTATCAAAAATTCCACTAAGCTGTAATCGATACATTTTTTAAATTAATAAAATCTGATTTATATCAGAAATATAAAATGAAACTTTTCAAGGTTTTGAGTTGTAGAGTTTATTTTGAGTCTATATTACTTAATAGTGCTGCATATTTCACAGCATACATAATAGTGCTGCATATTTCACAGCAGCAACATGCAGCTCAGCATTGGCCTGTTTTTTTCTTCCCTTTTGGCTTTTCTTTACTCACACAGATTTTACAAAGCCTGTACACAATTTGAATGATTTAGGGCAAATGAATGGCACATGTAGAGATATTTTTTGGAATACCATTGCCCTTACAATAATTTCATTTTTCTCTAACTGTGTTAGATTTGATAATACCTCAAAGTGAGAAATGTGCAAATCTGAGGATAAATTTTTGCTATGATAGATTTTTTTTTTTTTTAAGAATTTGTTTCTCCTATGATTTTGTAACAACTGAGGGGCATTTCCCTTTAACCCTTTAACTGTCAAGTTATTTTGATGATTTGGGTACACAAATTGTCAAATTTTTTTATTGCAAAAACCAAATGTTTAGTACATAATAAAATATACTTAAGTAGTTAAAAATTGATATTTTGACGTACATGGGTAAAATTTTTAAAGTTTTGTAGCCACTGCATATTTGCTTTGAGGCGGCTGCCACTCAACATGGCAGTTGTAATTTCGCTTCTAGTGGAGCATTATTTCTAAAAATGAAAAAAATTTATTATTTTCTAAACATAAATAAATATAAGTGAATACCTATTAGTAGTTCAGTAATTCAGTCTAGTGTGGTACAAACTGGAAACACTTTTCCAAGCACCAACCAACTCCCAATCACACACCAGAATCGTGATTCCTTCCTTATCTTTTTCCCCATTTTTATCCTTTTTCGAACAAACACACTTTGCACTGTCTTGTAGGCTCATGTTTCGCAGGAGTAGTAAGAGGAAAATGGGATATAAAGTGTCGTTCAGTAAGACGGGCAGGGTTATCTGTTGTAGGTGGTCTGCCAAGATTCTTTTGTTCAGAAGCTGCATGATCATATTTATGTAAAAGCTCTTCTACAACTTGGGTTCGAAATTCTAAAAATATAATACGTTTCCCAACTACATTTTTCTAGAGCAAATAATGAGTTCCACAGTACCTTGTCTCTAATAAATGTAGAAATATCTTTTTACAATATTTTTTCTGATGTTTTCAGGATTGTTGGATGAAAGGATAGTTCTTGATCACAGCAATCTACACCACCCTAGTTAGATTGTAGTCAGAAACAATCTTTGGCTTGAGTATATCTTCCATTTTTAAAAAAAAATTTTTTTTTTAATTTTGAGGCTGATCATGGAAGTATCATGAATACTGCTTATCAAACACACATCCTTCACCTTCGGTTTAAGAATCTAAATCATCTATATAACATTTCAAAGAACTGGAGGCTATTTTACAACAAAAAGACCCCATGCACTTTGAATCAAATAACCTTTAACCTTTGAAATCTTCAGTAAAGTGTGGTCATCTATTGAACTGAGCGCACATTAACTTTTCCCGAGATACAGACGGGTTTGACAAAGAGATGAAGCCGAAATAAACGTCTCCCGATATATATTCGGGTATAACAATACGATGCACTCAAAAAAAAAAAAATTACCCCGAGTAATACTCGGGCGTGACATTTTCGAACACCAGTGCTGTACCCGAGATTATCTCGGGCATGACAGTTAAAAGGTTAAATACAGTGCTTATTCTATTTAAAGGAAAATGCCCTTTCTGTCGATATTTATCTAGAAAACCAGCTAAATATGGGATAAAAAATTTCTGTTTAGTTGATGCTAAGCATTTTATCATTTTATATATCAAGCATGGAGTTTATGTAAGGAAAACAATTGCTTGGACATTTTAAAGTGAGTAATGCACCTTCAGATATAATCATGTATTTCCAATTAGTGGTACAGACTATGAAATATGGCTATGGATAATTGGTTTGGTTTATTAGATTATGGCAAAGCACTCGAGGGCTATCTGCCTTAAGGGAAGGATGCCTTCGTGGAGGACTTTCTAAGGGAAACTGGCTCGTATACACGTTACACATGGGGAAAACCACGAAAACACCCATGCGGCCAGCCCGTTTGCGGGTTTCGAACCTCATACCAAACTACCAGTGTTCAGCGACGTTACCACTTGGTCGCTGGTGGGCACCTATGGATAATTAGTTTATGAGGTATGATCTTGCAATCAACATAAAAAACATAACAACCTTACAGTAATAGGAACTGTTAATAAAAATAAAAAGGAATTACCCTCAGAATTTATCAGCTTTAAAAGCAGAGACTTGTATTCAAGTTTGTTACTATTTCTAAAAGATACACATGGAATATCATATACTATTCCCAAAAAAGGCAAAATTGTCATACTATTTAGCAGCATGATATAGCAATTAATAATGATTTTCCTACAAAAGTTAAAAATTGTTAAGTTTTATAACAGTAAAAAAGGAAGCACTAATATTGATCAAACGCGCTCCTTGTATGATGTATGCAGAAATAGTAAATGACCACTTAATAGCTTTTGCAATACTGAATATAGCTGAATTAATGCTTTTGTGGTTGAATCTTAAATGATAAATCCAAAAGCAGAGGCAAGTTTGTTGTGCCCTTCTAGCTAAAACAATCAGCAATAATTTCATTCAAGCACCAATATCTTCCATACACTTTAACGATATTAATAATGACAGTAAAGTATACAAGTTTGTGCAAGGAGAGAAATTTCAATTAAAGCTAATACTAGATTTTTAAATTACTGAAGCAGCATAAAATAATAATAAATAATTTAATATAATTCTTGCTTATATGAACAAGAATCATATTAAATTATTTATATGAACATAAAAGCTAAATTCAATTAAAACTATCAGACCAGCTGCTTTCAAAAGCAGGTAAATATAAAAATCGTGCCTCAAATATTGTAACATTTCATCATGAACACAGGTTACATACTTGCTACTGCAAGCCTAAGAAAGGAATGTCAAAAATTAAGTTTCAAGACTTTTCTAAGGAAATTTGGTTTACATTTATATCACACATGCTGAAAAGAAGGAAAATTCACAACAAACAGTTAATTTATGAAAAATTTAATCAAATCTAGATCCTTAATTGATTAATGAACCTGTCTAAGAGGAAGGATACCTTCATGCATGATTTTCTAAGAGAAACCTCACATTCACATTACACATGGAGAAAATCATAAAAATGCCCGTGAAATCAGCTCATTCATCAGGACTGAAAACTGAGTAAAAATACCAAGTTTACCAGTTTTATTTAAGTTCCACAGATGACGGGAGGGGGAACCTTATATGAATAAATGTTCTGCAGATTAAGATGCTTAGTTAAGATCTGAAATAAATTTGATTTTCAACAAACAAATTAAGTATACTAACAAAAATACAGTACATACCCAAACCAGCAGAAGCAGTACAATCAGTTTTTTCATTTATTTCAGCTCTTAAAATTGAGGCAAATTGAAGGGGAGATACTTTAGTATCCATTAAAAGTTCGGTACAATCAATATATAACTCATCACAACTAACTGCTTCAATGTCCAGTGTGTAACTGCAACAAAATTAATTTATAAGATACATAGCAACAGCAATGCATAAGTAAGACATGCACATTAATTTAATTCAAAAACTGAGCAGCAGTCGGTCTTTTATTGGCATTAATTTCAGTTGCTTTAATACATTTTAAGACAAAACAAATACTCTAGCAATCAGTACTTTGCTAATATTCTTACTATTGCTAAACATTAGTTGTTTCTTGAAGTGCATTTAGAATAGATTATTTATGAGAGAGTTTGCAAACCTATTTATCTGATAAAATGCCTAATGGAAGGCTGAAGGAGAACACAACTCGTATTAACATAACATGAATTAAGTACATAATCTGAAAAATTATTTCTATAATGATAGTAGTATTCACAAAGGCCAGAATACACATTACACAAGTGTTTATTAGAAGTGAGAAAATGAATCAGTTTGATTTCTTCAATTAACAAATATAAGACAAATATCTTTGCTGCCTAATAACTGCTCATAGGATAAAACATACTGAAGATGTCTTTATATCAATTTCATAGGAAACCAACTACAGTACTTTTCTCTTTTTATTCCTTTAAATCTGACTAACTGAAAAATTCTATGAGAAGTCAAGAATTTCTTACATAAAAAGCAAACATCTGATTATTTATTTTTCTCCCTGTATCAAAATTAAAAATTGCTTCTTATTAGACATACATACCATATTTCCATGTCTTTTATATTTTTTTAATATAAATGTGTGTGAAAAAAAAGACATTTTATAAAATTTAAAATTCCACTTAAGCAACATTTAAAAAATACACCTTGCATAAAAAACTCCAATTTCCACACATTTTACTTCTGCTTTATTACTGTATGTACACTGCCCCCCCCAAAAAAAAAGAAAAAAAGGGGGGACAGTTCTATATTTCCCGTTCTACTGGGCCGAATGACAGAATTCAAATAGCGTTTTTCATGTCTCGAAAGCGCAACTTAGGATATATATTAGACTAATATATAGCACTATTCTATGATAGGTATTTTGACACAAAATCGGACTTTTTCTGAAATAACATACCAATATTTTTACATATTTCAATTCTACGACTCAAATTATGCCAGACTGCCAACTTTTGTAAAAATCGTACGAGTAGTTTTTAAAAAACTAGCTCTCCAAATTTTAACTCCTCAATGTTAATGAAATTTGGCATATATTTACTAATATCTTTTTTTTCATTAAACGTTTTTGATTTTTTCCTTTCACATTTCGAAATTTAGGTTCATTAAAAATAAAATTCACCTATTTTTTGTGTTTTATTTTTAAAATTTCTATTTTTCAATATTTTTTATAAATTTTTCGAAAAAAAATTTTGAATTGTAACCTATAAAATTTTTACCATCATCTTAAAGTAGGTGTAGTTCTAAGCAAACCTGCAAAAAATGAGAGTTTTTTATTCAAAATTTTCTAAGATATACACGAATTTACATATTTTTGTGTTTTGAAATTGGGCATCTTTTTCTTTGAGTGATAATAACGCCAAATGTGGTTTATGGATTTTTGTTACAGTAATTTGCCACAACTGTAAAACGGATTGAAAGATTTTCACATTTTTTAACATCCTAACCCTTAATGTTTTCCATTTACAGAACGCATTTTCATTTATGCTGACTTGTAAATAATTCTTATCTTTAAATTTTAGTGTTTGGATTAGTGAAATCACATAAAACAACCTAATTTTATTGGTACTGGCGATGTCTTCCATTGCAATAAAGAAAGACATTGTCCCAAACGCCCCGCCCCCAATTTCTTGCCATATGATATTAAAACACTCCTTGATTTTCTTCTGAAAAACTATTGTTTTTCCCTCTTAAATCTGCACCTCATCTTATGAGCACAAAAAAGGCAGTTTTGCTAAACTATTTGTAAAATTCAAAAATTTAAAACTAGCAAAAAAAAAAAAAACTTACTTGTAGATATTAAATAAAATTTCAATTTCGAGGCTATCAGTAACAGGTCTTTGTTCCTCAGGAACATTTCCTCCACCCCAAAAGAAAGAAATTGTACTATTTCATTTCATCCTTCTATCAGTTACAAAATTTCCAAACAATTTGGAGTTTTTCTATTCTATCAAACACATATTTATTTGTTCATTTCTGTTGTTTATTTAAGAAACTAAGTTCCATGTAAACTATAGACTTTTCAGCTGTTGACAAAAAGCAGCAGAGTAATAGTAACAACAGAGAAGCAGATGTTTTATTAGCTTCATTAAATGTATTCATGACTTTAAAAAGATATAAAGTCGGATTTGACTATCTGCAGAGAAAAGGTCAAAGGAAAGCTATAATACACTGATGAGCAAAACTTAAGAACTCTTTCATTTTTTGTGGTATCATTATAATGGAGCAGCTTGAAAAAACAAAAGTCATCTCCTCGACATGCATCACAGTGATGACTGAAAGCAAAACATGTGCTCAAAAGAATACATGTGTTAAAACAGAGATTTTAATAATAAGATAAGGTTGTAATAATGATTATCATTATAAAGATACATCCATTCCACACAGCAAATAAAGGCATGAGGTGATATTTTGTACAGAATATGATTTCTCATTGTATCACTAACTGCTTAATGTTGATAAGTTGTTGGGGCAACACTGTCCACTGCTTTCTGTAAGTGCACTTTTCAGTCGATGGACAATATGCAGTGGATGAAAACATGCTGCAAGTCATCTTCCACAGCACTCTACACATTTCCTTTGATGGAGGTTTGAAGACTCTGCAAGTCAGTCTATGCAAGAGATACCCTCATTTTCTACAAATTCCTTCTGCCGTGTTTTGACATTACCGTCCATAAAAAAGAAGTTGGGACTAATAGTGTTTCTGAAAAATTTCACTTGAGGAACGATCACGTCTTGTATTAGCAGTTTGCCATTATATAGCACTGATAAAAAATGTAAGTGCTCAATATGAACACAGATCATTATTTCACTTCAGATGATAATGTTAATGATTCTTGGTAACTTTGTCAGGCAAAACTGTATTCCTATCTCTCTTCAGATAATAGACTTCCAGAATCGAAATATAGTTCATATAGTATATAGTGTATGCCAGTGTTTCTCAACTGGATTTACTCCAAGGACCGTAAAATATTTCAGTACGTTCTCGCAAACCGGTAAGTTTAATAATTCGACCCATTGGCCCAATTTTTTCACATTAATAAATCATCAAGACCAAAAATAATTTTTAAAGCATTTTATTTGTTATAATTTACATATGTAGACTGTGGGAAAAAAATGGGACAGTTCTATATCTCCCATTCTACTGGGCCGATTCAAATTGGTTTTTTATGTCTTGAAAGCACGACTTAGGATATATATTTGATTTATATATAGCCCTATTCTAACATAGATAGTTTGACACAAAATCGGACTTTCTCTGAAATAATATACTAACTTTTTTCCATATTTCGTTTCTACGACTCAAATTATGGCAGACTGCCAAGTTTTGTAAAAATCGTACAAGTAGTTTTAAAATATTAGCTCTCAAAATTTTAGCTCCTCAATGTTAATTGAATTTATTAATATCTCTTTTTTGATTAAACTTTTTTGATTTTTCCTTTCACATTTAAAAATTTAGGTTCATTCCAAATAAAATTCACACATTTTTTTGCGTTTTATTTTTAAAATTTCTATTTTTAAATAATTTTTATAAATTTTTCGAAAAAATTTTTGGATTATAGCCTATAAAATTTTTACCACCATCTTAAAGTAGGTGTAGTTCTAAGCATACCTGCAAAAAATTAAAGTTTTTTATTCAAAATTTTCTAAGACATACACGAATTTACATATTTTCGCATTTTGAAATTTGGCATCTTTTTTTTTTTTTTTGAGCGATAATAATGCCAAATGTGGTTTATGGATTTTTGTTACAGTGAATTGCCACAACTATTTTTAACCTTAAATTTCAAATAAATTTTTAGGGAGAATTAATTATATGAATTTTTTTTTCCTCAGTGATGCGTAATACTAAATGAAAAGCTATTTTTTTTAAATTATAGATGATATTATTCAATATTTTAACTCTTTTTTTTTTAATTTCTTTCTTTTTTCCTCTCTCTCTCTTTTTTTTTTTTTTTTTTTTTGGCTTTAAATATTTGTAAGAGTAAATTTTTACCTCCGCCATGTTATCATCTGCTACTTTACTTTAACTTCATTAAAATTCAATTGTCTAAAACTGAGAAAAGTTCATTTGATGTTTATTTTCACAATGTTTTTAAGCAAACAGGACGTTAATAGGTTGGGTCATGCCCCAGCTTTAAAAATTATACATATAAGTATAAATTTTTACATTAATCCTCTTCGAAAGAATGTTTTAATTAGTTAATTTCTCTCATGTTATAGATTGTATAAAAAACATAATCTTTAATATGATTTAGATTATTTGTAGGCGATATAATAATCGGGTCACTCAGTGGTACAGAATAAACATTGCTGGACTGTTTTATTTTTTTTCATTTAACAAATAATCTTCTAATTAAAATATTTATCCTTTGCACTTTGCTTAAACTTTATTTATAGTTAAAATGCCTAGAAAATGAAAAGCTGCCTTCAATTGAAACGCAGTCGATATAACTGATATTTAAAAAAAAAAAAAAAAAAAAAAAAACGACAAGAATGCAAAATTTATGGAAGTGTAACAATCGAAAAATCTTAATTTTCTTGTGGTGAGCACTGAAAATAAATGTAGAAGGAAAGAAGAAAATTAGGGAGAAAAGTAAGCAAAAATTTGAAGGGGAATTTGGCTGTCAGAAATACCTAGGTGTTTCGAAAAGTTGGATGCTTTTGAATATACTTTCAGAATATGTCAAGGAATTTGGGCATTTAAAGAGAAAACACTTGGATGCATACACCAAGCAAATACCATCAACTGAGCTTGTGCTAATGGAAAAGACAAAAACGATATCATTGGAGATTAAAGTGAAGAGCACCTGGTTGTCGACTATATGTTTGTATAAATTCAAATTATGTTATCGAACATCCTATCATCATAAACGGAGAATCACATGATGTCTTAGGCGAATTATTTGAATATTCAGGAATTTATCCAGTGATGATGTATGTGGATGTCAGCTAAAGGCATTTTCCCTCTTGATGAAACCAATCTTTCCTTTCATCTCAAGCCTTTAAAGTGCTTAGCCTCTAAACACTGATAAAGGCTCTGACCAAATACTGATGAAATGGATTGAATTGGATTATTAAGTTACAGCAAAGCAGGGCTATCTGCCTAAAAGGAGAAATGTCTTCGTCAAGAACTTTCTAAGGGAAACCAGCTGGCATACATGTTGCAATGAGAAAAACCATAAAAATGCCCATGCAACCAGCCCGTTCGCCCGGATTCGAACCCCGAAGTGAACTAGTGTGTGCGAATTAGTGTTTGCAGTGTTCAACAACTTTACCGCTCAGCTGTTTGTGGGCCTTTATTAAATGGAAGGCGATAACTTTATTTAAAATGAATGTCAGAAATACCAAGATGTTAAGTTGGATGCTTTTTCATTTGCTTGCAGAATGCCTGAAGAAAAAGAGCAAGCCATTAAGAAGAAAAAAATAATTTTTTGCATAAAATTTAGTATTAAAATTTAAAACTTTTTAATGTTATAATAATTGATTCTTGCGATTTCAAAAATAAAATATTTGACTAAATTATGAATAACATTTTAAGAAACTAAATGTAGGATGATAAAATTGTGTAAAGCAATGAGCACAATATTAAAGCTATTTAAAGCAATATATGCAAGTCATCTTAAGTTAAAATGTCGGTTATACATCTTTCTCACTTATATATCTTTTCTGAGCAAAACATTGAAAGGTGCATTAACTGTGCTTTACTGTATTTTCTCTTTTAATATATTCAGTTTTCAGATGCATCGTAGTCTGGGACACAAAGTATTCTTCAGAAAGAAACGCAATTCGAATAAATAAAATAAAGTAATGGAAAATTTATATTGATAAATATATTTAAAATGCTCAGTTCAAATGAATAAATAGAAAATTTGAAAGACAATGAAATGTGCAACAAACAATTAAAATAAAAGTCTAAAAATTTTAAAATTACCTAAAATAACTATGACAAAAAAAATTAAAGGAAAATTATTTGAAAAAAAATAAATGATGCACCTTATATTTAAACTTACGCAGTCGAATGGGTAAATAGAAATTTTTAAAAACAGTTATTCGAAAGAAACCATGCAACTTAAACAATTAAAATGAAATTCGAAAGAAAAAAATTACTTGAAATAATAACATTTAAAAATATAATATAAAGAACATTATTTGAAAGAAAGAGCGATGTGATTTTTTTTATTCTCATGGGAAAGGAAAATAGGTTGCCATATATTAAGAAGTTCGCCAAGTGAACTATTCTTGGCACAAACTGAAAAAAGTGCCAATATAAATTTGTGAATTTCTTCGTAAATTTCGCACCAAATTTTACAAAATTTCCTATTTGGGCATAATTTGAGTCGCAGAATCGAAATATGGAAAAAAATTGGTATGTTATTCCAGAAAAAGTCCGATTTTGTGTCAAAATAACTATGTTAGAATAGAGCTATATATAAAAATCTAATATATAGCCTAAGTCACGCTTTTGAGACATGAAGAACGCAATTTGAATTTCGTCAATCGGCCCAGTAATACGAGAGATATAGAACTGTCCCCCCCTTTTTTTTCAGTGTACATAAACTTTATATATATATATAAAGTTCTTGTATATGTACACATATATACATAATAAAGTAAATATAAAATATAACGAGAGCGAATCATATTAATCAAATATGTACAAGACTGACTTGAAGTTTATTACGAAAATTGAAAGAAAAAAAAAAAAAAAAAAAAAAAAAGCTTATTAAGACACAGCCAAAGAAAAGATGGAATAGACAGAAAACAGGTTTTCAATGGAATCAAAAACTGTTATAGGTACTAACAACAAAAATACGTATAAGTAAAAAATAATCAGCAGAACCCAGAAAAAACGTTTCTACATAATTCTCTAAGAAGTCAAAATTTTAAATGTCTGAAATAAAACTAAAATGTACACACAGATTTCTCCTGACTAAGAAATTCCTGCATTCATCAAATTTTCTAGCTAAATTTCATGACACCATGAGGGCATATTTTCATGAAATTTTACTAGTTCAGCAATCTTTTCAAAATATATAAAAATTTTCATTTAAAAGGTTTAAAAAAAAAAAAAAAAAAAAAAAAAAAAAAAAAAAAAAAAAACTGCACTTCCATTAATTAAATTTTCTCTCTTACTAGTTTTCCTGCTTAAGTTTACTTACGTTTAACCCTTCAAAAACTTTTTAACAGTGTTCTACCGTGCATGTTATTAAAAATTATGTATGCAGGACAAAAAGGCATACCTTGAAACAATATCATACAACTGTCTTGAAACTTCAGTATAACCTTCAAAATCATATGCTATAGTCTTCAGTTCTGGACAACGTCTGAGAGCTTCTCCTAAAAACATACCATTTCTTATACCTGCTTTTCTAGCTTCATAGCTACAACTTGCAATTTCTGAAAGAGATCCATATTCTTTGGAAGATATGGAAATTTTTTGTTTCTCAGTACTGGTATCACTATGTGTCTCAACTTTTTCAGGAAATGTTAATCCTCCAATTTTTTTCTTTGCTTGATTTGCATAATGAGCTGTTTCATAATGAATATCACTTCCAACTTGAGTACCTCCTCTTTTTCCTTTAGAATGAGTAACTGCAACAGGGCAACCTTATACAAGAAATAAATCATATATTCAGAATTAATATTATTTTACAGCATTAATATAAAAGAAAAAAATTAATATGAATATTAGACATCTAGTAAGTAATAATACTTTATACTTTTCCTCAAACTAATATAAAAAATTCAGGCTTTTTGAAAAATAAATAAACCTTTAAAATCATACCAAATAATGCATAAAATCTTCCCATTAAAAGCAGTAATGATATAAGTAGGATGATCGAAAAGTTATAAGACAGGCTTCTCTTACAATGAAGTTGGCAGTTTCTTTTTTCTTCCCCATGCAAATTTAAATCGTTCATACTGGAGAGAGTTTTATAGTATTTTTAAATGGTTAAAAAAATATGAAATACTGTTTAGCAGTATCCTCTCTTGAAATGCAGACATGGCATTTTTCACCTTATCTTCCCATTTAAATGTCTTTTCAAAGTTGACAGTATTTAGAATTTGCATGCCACTAAGTCAAGTTTAAGTGTAAATTTTCTGGTGTTAATAAATAGTGTCACCAACTTTGCAGAGCAATATGTAGCTGAGCACGGTCCTTTAAATAACAGTAAGATAGCTTGAGGAAATCTGGTTCTTGTCTTCCTCTTAGCTCCAAGTGGAGGACAAAATGGTTTCAAAGATGTTTACACAATACATTCAGTAATCTTCTCGGAGGTGTGCAATGTTGACATACATATCAGTAATGGATAACCTTTTATAAATGTTTTATCAATTACTTACGTATTACCACTTTGATGTACCTCCATTACTGAAATACTGAAGAATCTTACACAAATGTAGAACTGTTGATGTGTTGTTTCAACTTTTAACTTAAAAAAAAAAAAAAAAGAAGCATCCGCTTTGACCTTTATTAACTTACAAGTGAAATTTCCTCTTTTCATGAAAGAGAAAGTAAACTTGTTGTTACAAAATTCTCATCTATTTGATTTGGAAATACTACAATCTGAGATTATAAATTTGAGTACAACTAAGGCCTAAAAAGTGCCTCTAGCCTAAAGTAATGATCCAAGTCTTAAATTTTTTAATATATATACAGAGTGTATCCATAGCACATTTCAGAACTTCCAAATACCGAGAATGTCAAGCAATGTCTTGGAGTTTCATTTGTAATATTATCAAGCCTCTTTTTTTTATTTTGTTTGTTTCAGACTGTTAAAACTATTCTTCGCTTATACCATTAAGTATGGCAGTTAAAGAATGTATAATGCAGTTTCATATCAGGTACTTGAAAAATCTAAACTGTTTACAAGAGCATATTTATGTATACATGAAAACACAAAGTAACATTCAGTCGCTTATCTTAAATTAAGATGCTATCAATTAATCAACTAGCAGCCCACTATAAATAAGCAAACATTCTTAAGTAACTCAAAGAAAATTCAGTATTAGATTCAGATTTTCCCCACCCCCAATGAAAAGCCGTGATAAAATACTGATAAGGAAATGCATGTCATAAAAAAATATGTATGTGACAATCGATAATGTCCCCAAAAAAGTATTTATGTGGCCATCAAAAAATGATCATAGTATTCGCATAGATGGTTTTCCATTTTGTCATATATTTGCATCAGAGTGACTCATATTATGATCCCTCCTAAAGGAAATTCAGTATTTTAACCCAACAGTGGATCACATACTGCAGTTTTTGTCATCTTTAGTGAAATCTTGAACTTGTTGTCTCTACATATAGAGTGCATGTCAGCTTGCTTAAAGGCATTATGTACCTCTATTTTCCTGCTCCTTTTAGTGAGTTCCTCTCAGTGCCAAGTTTATATGATTCCTTTTTTTTTTTTTTTTTTTAAGAAAAAACAGATAGCTAAGTGTATGGAGAAAGCAAAACTGCAAAAATGTGAAAAGTATGTATGTCTTGAATGGAAAAAGAAAAGCAGCACTAGATGCATTATTGAAACAGACTAGGGATGCACAACTAGAGATGTTGACTGCTTGCGGCCACATTTAGGCTGCGAAAACTTCTTCAAAATTTTTGTTCTGATTTGACATATTGGTTATCTCTGGAAGGGCTTGCGAGCAGAAAACATTTCACAAATTCCTCATTCGAAATGGGATTTGGCACTGAGCCAAGTTCCCAGCATCTACCAAAGCAAGTTTAACCACCTGAGCACGAGAACTGCCCCTAGCCTGTATGGCACACAAATTGAGGAAGGGTCTGTGGTATAATGTAGTACGAGTGTGTTTGCATGCATGTGCTAGTAAAAAGAGAGAGAAAAATATTTGCTCAGATCGGAAGTGCTGCACTCATCTGCTTGCTTTGCTGCACTTCTGGCTTCGTAACTGTTAATTTGTTTCACGTGCTTATTTTTCTTTTCGAGACCATTAAGAAGTTTCTTGTTTTGAATATTTCACTTTTCTTATATTATTTTGAAAGAGAAACCAATGCAGAATTTTTGTTCCACGTGGTTTTGATAGTTACTTGCCATGATGTACAGATCGAAAACAAAAAGAAAGGTAGTGGATGATAATGAGAAATTTTCGGAGGTCTGGATTTTGAAATACTTTTTTGTGGACAATTACATGCTTGATATGTAATTTTATTATTAGTGTTTGCAAGGAGCATAATATTAAGTAACACTACAACAAGAAACATTCAACATTTTCAAAGCTTGAGAGGTTCAAAATCATAAAATCGAATCTCTTCACTGTTCTCTTGTTCCACAAAGGAATGTATTTACAAAGGCATCTTCCCAATTAGATAATTGCGTTGAAGTTAGTTTGGGAATTGCAGCCTTAATTGCTAAAAGTGGCCACCCATTTGCTGATGGTGATTTTGTAAAGGAGTGCATATTGTTGCCGTCCGAGAAAGTATGCCCTGAAGCTACAAAGAAATTTTAAAATGCAAGCCTCAGTATAATGACAGTTCAAAGAACTTAAAATTTATCTGATGATGCTAATAAACAATTACAGATTGCTGCCACCAAATTTAAATACTTTTCTCTAGCAGCTGATGAGTCAACAGATATTACTTCAACATCTCATCTGCTTTTGTTTGTTACAGGAGTTTCTAAAATTTTGAAGTAACTGAAGAACTTGTTGGAATAAGTTCGATGAAGGGGGCTAAAACTGGAGCTGAGATCTGATCCTCCATTTTAAATTTGTATTCTGCACCTAATTTTGGCACTAACAAACTTGTTAGTATCACTACTGACGGAGCTCCAGCCATGATTGGAATTCAGAATAGTATGGTGAGTCTACTGAGAAACCAGTTGGATGACTGAGGCAAAGATTTGCTTTAATAACACTGTACCATACATTAAGAACAGCTGTGTGAGAAAGAACTAGGATTTGATCGCCTAAAGAATGTAGTGAGCAATACAATCAATTTTATCCGCTCACATGGTTTAAACCACGGGCAATTTAAAGAAATTCTAGAACACACAGATGCAAGACATAGTGCTCTCAAATACTACTCCAACGTATGGTGGTTGAGCCGTGTAGAGGCTTTGAAAAGGTTTGCTGATTTGATTGATGAAATAACACCATTCCTTGAAGAAAAGGAAAGCAAAATAAGATGTTAAAGGAACCAGCTTTCAAGTGTGACTTAGCCATTTTTAGTGGATGTGAAAGCCCATTTGAATGACCTAAATAAAAAAATTGATGGGAAAAAACCAATTCATCAGTCAACTGGCCAATGCAATATCTGCTTGTAAACTAAAACGCCAGCTAAATACTTTTCTAGAAACATAGCTAAATACTTTTCTAGAAACATATTTAAAGATTGTCAGTACAAATACAAAGCAGACTTTAGATATGTGACAATGTGCTTTATTCCTTCATGTATATTATGTCCTTACATATATATTTTGTAGATACCCCTTATGTAGGGTACCCCTTTGTAGATACCTCTTAAAGTAAATCATACATGTATATTTTTAATTAAAAAGTTTCTCCAACTAAAGTTAAAAAAAATAGTTTCCACAATGGAAATAGGTCAGTCCTGCAAGGAAAAAAATCTAGCTTTTTATACGAACATCATAAATCAAAATGTTCAATTAATAGCATGTTCATTATTCTTTAATATATTAAATACCAAAAATTCTAAATCTTTACATGTAAAATTGGAGGCATATTCAAGATTATTGCTTGCTTGTTTTGTTGAATGGAACAAAGTAGAGAAAAGTTATCTGCCTAAAGGGAGAATACTTGGGGGGACTTTACAGAACTGACGTAATTATACAATAAAACCAACCAACTGCAACTACTGTTGTCAGGTTGACTACAAAAGTTAGAGGGCAAATCTATTTGACCACTAGCAGCCATATATTAAACAGTTTAGACCACAATTCAATATACAGTCAAAAGTCGTTAATTCGGACACCCATAATCCGGAATGATTTATAATCCGGACCTCAAAGCTACAAACTTTCTGCGCGTAAGACCTTTACGGCTGCGAATATGCTTGTGCGCGTATGCAAAATATGTTTACGAGTGCGCGTTTAATGTACAATGGACAGTATAAGCTAAGCTAAAATTATCTATTTCAGTTAATGTTGCACATTGCGTTGCGTTGTTCCTTAATCTTCAAATTGGATCCGGCTTATTATTTTTTGCAGACTATTAGAGCAATTTTATAAAAGTAAGCTTGAACTTTCGATTATGTGAAATAGAATTTCTAATATATATTTATTAATATGTAAAGGATCTACAAAGCGAAAGTATGTTTCGAAGTTCATTAAACAAAAAGTGGAATTGCTGCAAAAAATGGATAAAGGCATATCCTTTATTTATCTAAACTTTAACGTTTATTTATCTTTAATCTTTAATGCCAGGGTGTGCAATGAATTGGAAGTTGATCTGTCAGCACTATCCTTATCTTCAGGGCAGATGTTTTTATTTTATTTGGCTTATAATTCCTTATTAAATGTAGTATTTCATCTCGATGTACAAATCCGTCGTTTCATATGATTTAATTCAAATTCCGATAGCAAAGAAATTCGCTTCCGATAGCAAGAAAGTGACAGAGGTTATTGAAAACGGAAAAATTTCGATTCATAAATTAGTCAGTAGACACAGCAGCAATTACAGGACTTGAACAATGGAACTTTATAACTGAACAAGAAATTATGTCTGTTTATAGAATTAAAGAGAATGTATTATCACATAAAAAACGAAGCAACTTAAACAACTTACATTAAAAGAAATGTTTAATAAAGTAAACAAATAAATGTTAAGCTGCTTTTTTTTTTTTTTTTTTTTTTTTTTTTTTTTTATTTTGATACCCTTTAGATCATAATTGTTCTTTATTTCATAAATTACGGTTTCATATTTTTAATTTTATAATTTCTGCATGCCATCTTACCAGATTTAAACTGATGATCTATAATCCGGAAAAATCGATGATCCGGAATCGCCGAAGTCCCGACGAGTCCGGATTAACGACTTTTGACTGTTATAAATAACCAGAATAAGAATAAGAATAAAAAAATATACTAAAATTGACAGTAAAGATTTAATAATCCAAATACTCTTAACGTATATAAAGAAAATTAAAATATTTGTATTTTGAATTAGACTTATTAATTGCATAAGTAAAAAATTTACTAATTGTACTTTTCACTGTATGATGAAAAGACAATGACATTTTTATTTAAAAAAACTAAAAAGTCCTTTAATAAAATACTTATTTTTGAAAAACTTTGCAATCATTTATATTATACATAAGAACCGTTAAGAAAAGAAAGCCTGTACCCACCTTTTTTGAATATCCTATATAATACAGAAAAGTGGATTTAGAACATACCTTTTAACTCTGGATGTTTTCTTAATCCAACAGAGACAAAAAAGCAGTCCATATCTAAATGCATAATAACACTGCCTTCATTTTTATTAATGTTCTCAGACTTAAAAAGTTCAGGACTGTCCGATAAAGGTGAATCATTGATTCCACATAGCATTTTTAACTTTATCCTGCCAGGATAATCTTTTCCTTTATGATTATCAATAAGGTACTGAACATAACGCTTTAGATCTTGGCCTGCAGTAGATATGTGATGCAATCTTGAATGACTATAGAATTCTGATAAAAACTCAGGATGTCCAGCTTTAATGGTCAATCTGTTATTTTTCTGCAATTCAGCTGAAAGAGGGCTTTCTGTTTTAGTCTGGGTAGAAATATTTGTGTCATCTGCCTGAAAATCTGAATTATAGTTTAATGATTTCAAAGATGGTGAGATTTCAGTGTTCTCAGTAGCAATACAATTTTTTGTAATGCTTGAGAAATCATTCTGAATTATTTCATTTAATACATTGTTCTTGTTAGGTTCCAAAATAACACACGGATTAGTGCAAGATGCTTCTACTTCTAAAGCAGAATTTTCTTTAAAAATATCACCACTTTCAGTAGCAGAACTTTCAATACTGCAGTCTCCAAGTTTAGCATTTGGTTTAAAGTAATTAGCATTGATTCTTGGCTGATTGTTCAGAACTTCAGGTGTGTACAAAAAATAATTCTGATGAGGAAGGAGTCTGCCCGCTTTGATGCTACAGATTAAAATACACACACTTATATATATATACATACACACACACATATATTATATATAATTTCAAATAATAAAAAATACAAAAATCTATTATTCAAAGAAGAATTTTGCTTCTGAAAAAGAAATATTTTCCCTCCAAATATTGCATTTTATATACAGATTTAAAGACAGTAATACTGAGGGAAAATGTACATATATTCATAAAAATATATCATCACTATCATGCCATGACCATAAATCTGTAAATTCATGTTTATTATTATTATTATTAAAAGCCTTAAAGATATGGCATGCATTAAGTTGTTGGGTGGGAACTTGAAACTTCTATATATACAATATTTCTTTATATCCATCTCAGTGAATATAAATCTCTTTATTTTAAAAGAATAAAAGATTAAAATTTAAATTATATGCTACACTTTATGATACTCATATACCATCTGCTCAGCTTTATAATAACTTTACATCAATTTAGAATTATTGCGCTATGCAAGTTCATTAGAGAAAGATTGCACAACAGACAAACTTTACGCATAACATAGCTAGTAAGTTTCATAGCCTTACATTGTTTGTATAAAACTTTTTAAATGATCTATTTCACTTTGATGTTCCACATTACAGTACATCAGCAAAGATCAGAAGCACTTGGTATGTCCTATTGGACTATATTCAATCAAACTGGAAAAAAAAAAAAAAAAATCTGTGAAGAATTACTTATTATCCATTCCTCATGAGTGCTTTCCTGAACACACACATAAACTACCATACTGAAGCATAATTATATGTTTTACAAATATTCGCACTTATTATAACTAAATTATGACAAAAGACAGATGACACCAACAAAATAACATTTAACACAAATAAAAGAAAGATCATTAGAAGAACCTTCCACTCTAATGCTGGAAAGAATGGTACAAAGGGTAGAAATTACACCTGGACCCTTTATACAACTAGCAAAAAGAATTGGGTTTATTACATCAAATTATAAGTACATATAAGTAATTTACAAAATTTGCCAGTCTCAGAGAATGAATGTGAAATATTGTTTATGAATTTTTGGGCAGGATGAAATTTGACAAAAAGTAGGTATTTAAAGATAATTTGTTTATTACTGTGATGCTTGCCATCCAGCAATTCATCACATGTTGCTGAGAGTCTTCCTTCTACATGCACCTACTGCCCACCTCCCTTACATACCTTCTCACTCACTCTGCACCAGTAGTCTCAGTCATATCACAAATTGTGGAATAAACAAAGGGTTACTTTTGTTTCGCTTTCTAAATGAAGCACCAGTCATCTCAATCAGCTCAGTCCTGTCACAAACTGTGCAATACACATAGGGTTAATTTTGCTTTGCTTCTTAAATGAAAAGCTGAATTTAGTGAATGAATTTGCACCGGAAGGTTGGTTTTTAAGTGATATCAGGGTTCGTACATATTTCTGCTTTGTAATATCATCCAAAAAATAAATTAGATCCGTAAGCACTATGCATTATTATAAAACATAATTATTAATAAGTTAAAATGAAATTTACCAAGTAGCATTAAATATTTTACACTTATAATAGTTGGACATATTTGAAAGAAAATAAGTGACATTTTATTTACATTTTACTGACAGTTGGCTTTATGCTGATTTTTTTGTATCTCATTTTGTCACATTCTTGTTCAGGCTAGAGGTTTGAATAGCCGATAGATTTTATGTCAAGTGACATATATTAAAATGATAAGTTAAAATCATAATCAGCATGTTTCATAACAAAAGACTGGCTGTTGTCACCTCTACTGCTTGCCTAGAGAGAGACCTCCTGATCAGAACAAACCTGAAAGGGCTAATCTAGGTGCGGTTGGTAAGTTTCGAAAGTTAGCTGCGGCTCTGTCTGACGCAGTTAGTGCTGTAGCTTCGTGTAGAATTCCAGGGGTTGTAACCTAGTAATATACTTTAAGGTTCCAATAAGCCAAAGCATGATTAAGTTCTTTTGTATTATTTCAAGTCTCAGTAAATGAGAACAAGTTTTACATGAATTTTACATTTTTGAGTTTTATCTTGTGACCACGGTAAGGATAAATGAAATGTAAAAACTCCCTTTAATATGTAAAGATAATTTTTAAAGGTAAGCAGTTAGTTATAAATAATTTAATTAAATTAACTAGTTAGATAATATTAGCCTTATGGATTTACATGGCCACTATTAGATTTTATTTATTTTTTAAAAATATTTTTTAAAAAAGCCCTATTAAAATCACAATCTAATAAAATTTCACAGTTTAAAATGCATGTAATTTATGACATTGATTCTTAAACGATATTAGGATAATTACACATTAAAATCCACAAAACATTTATGTTTTGTACCAACTAAACAAAGTATTTATGCATCCTCTTAATTTGAAGCCTTCCCAGACATTTTGGTTAATTTATATCAATTTCCTTCTCTTTAAGCATCTTTTATAGCAATTAGAAATTTGTCTCAATATGCAAACTAATGTTCTCACTAGTCTCTGCATGCTTTATCTCCTAACTAGCCAACCTCTTCATAATGATGCACCTATGAGGCTTTGTTTGATCTGGTAAAAATTAAATAGTCCAAAATCCCCACCTAGACGTGAAGCAAATTATTGCTATGTCTGAAAGTAAAAAGAACTTAGACCATAAACTCATATTCTTATGCTAACAAAATCAACTACAGCTCATGGTGATGTAGTTCAACAAGAGTCAAATTCAAACTGTACTCTGTGGACTCATAGTCAAAGACCATACAATATAATTTTAATTTATACTGGCTCAGGAACTCTATCATCATAATAAATTCAAATGTCGGCAGTGATAATCCAAAGATGAATAATTACAAATGATCAGAGCTGGCAGAAACTAATGCATCAAACAAGTGGAGGTCAGAAACACACTCTGTCTTACACTCCAAAAACCTCAATTTAAAAACTGTCTAAGTGATTGCAATCTGGTCAGGAAATCGAAATGAGAAATTATAGTAAAAGCTGAAATTATAAACAATTGCATAATTTACATAATAGTAACTGTACATAACTTTGAGAATAATTTTCTTTCTCTTTATGTATTCAGTTTCTTTCTTCAACACATTTCCTTTTCATTTTAGAATTTTTGGATTTAAAGATTTCTATTATTCTAAAAACACTACGTGCATTTAGAATGTATAGAAAAAGCTGCTAATTTTATTTCATTATTCAGATGAACATTCAGAAGAAATATGAAATATATATGGTAAGGGCCAGTTACAGAGCTGGTGTGGCAGAAGTTTTAGAATTTAGAGTAGGCACTGGAAGCAGAATTTAAGATCCCCAGAAAATTTAAAATCCATCAGGTGGGAAAATGCCTGTGTGTGATGTATTAAGACGTATTAAATGAATCTTTTAAATTGTCAGTTTTCAATTTCTTTATTAATGAAAAAATTCCCTTCTATAAAGCCTGTCTGTGTCATAAGATTAGAAGCATTATTGATATTTTCTATGCTTGTGTTTAGTAAAAAATACAGAAAATAATGGGGGAGATAAACATGCTAAGAAAAAGATTTTTGTATCAGAAGTAAAACATTCAAATATTATGCTTTCATTGTTCTTCCAGACGTTCTCCAAAAAGTAAGAAATTCATCACACACTTCTGTAAAATACATCCATTACATGTTAATAGCAAGGAGGCATTTTTCATTTTGTCACATTTTTCTGGAATCTTCTAGAATCATGGGTCTATAAATCTTGTCTTCAAATCCTTCTAAACTTTCCAAGCTGCAATGTCTAAAATCCTAACGAAAAATTACTCCTACGAATTCTACAACAGCAGAAAGCCAGAAATATTTTGAGAAAAAAAAAATCAGATAGGAAAAGTGTAAAATTAATTTTATAGAGAAAACTGATGTGTATTCTAAGAAATCTGAATATTCTGAGACAATAACATGGAAAAACTCTTACCATACAAAAAATTAAGAAAAAAAAGATATTTCTAATTAATTACACAGCTACTAAAAAAGATATTTTACTTTTCCTAAGAACTGTTTCATAAATTGTGCTTTATAGCATTATACCTTGTTTATTTTTCAGATTCAAAATATTGTATAATAAGTGACCAAAATGGAACTGTATAATAATATGACAGCAAAAAGTAATGTTTTATTTTAATGTTATTTTTTAAATATAATTTCAATATATTACCATTATTTTATTGAAATTTATCAATGTTACAATGGTTTAAAAAAATTGTCGAAGAATTCCCAGATTTCGGAATGAAAAATTTTCTAAAGAAACTGATCTCAAAATCACCAAAATGTTAATAAGTCGCCAAATTTAAAGCCATTTAATAAAATAATTCACATCCCCAAAAGCAAAAAGTTGTTTAAGAGCTCTTGATTAGAAATAATAAAATAATTTTTAAATGCTTGTGTTTCATTTCTTGCTTAGAAATTCAAGTATCCCACCATTTATATTAGAAATAGGAACAAATTATAACCCATGAACCCATTCAAAAGATAACCATATTTGTCAGTGAATCGCCAAAAATATTCTACCAAAATGCTAATACATACCAAAAATGGCAGTCGTAAAAATAGACAAATTTCTGATGATTAAAATTAAGGATCTTCTACCCATTTTGGCCAAAATTAAGGACTTTTAAAAGACCAAAAATTGATTTAAAAAAACCTAAGGACTCTTAAGGACTGTACGAACCTTAGATATACTCTATTATATGTAAATATTCTAATATTCTTTTTTGAAGGCTAGAAAAAAGGATTCATCAATGAACACAAAAATAAAAGAAAAATGCACCAGTAGTAGCTCATACAGGATTAAGCAACAGACTATAGCTGTTAGTAGTTTTGAAGCAATAAAAAGTACCAAAATGGTAAAAAAAGAAGTAGTTAAGGATATGCTGAAAATGAATTTAAAATCAATATTATGCTATATAAGTTAGATTCCCTGGCTGTGCACGATTATTTTGTAAAATGCAGGTTCAGCTTCTTTCTTT